AGAAGAGAGATGAAGAATGGGCTGGGCTTCAAAATCCCTCCCTAAGAAAATCAATCCCTTCAAACAAAACCCTTCCCCTTTCCCCCCCTTTCCTTTTTTTTTTCCCTCCCCCTTCCCCCCCCCCCCCCCCTCCCCCCTTTTTCCCCCTCCCTTTCCAAACTCAAAAAAACGCTTTTTCCCCGCCCCCCAAAACCTCCTCCTCCCCCCACGGGGTTCCTTGTGGACCCTAACTCTCTGCAGAGACTCCTCCCCACCACAGTCGATACTTTCCTACACAACCTCGGCATCTTCAAAGAGGTATATAAACACGACCATATCATATGTTTCTCTACAACCACAGATACTGTGCAAGATAATAATACATTCCTTATACAAAATGATGTGTGCGTTCCTTTTATAGTCTTGTGAAACTCAGTAATTTTAATTCTCTGTCTTTCATCTCTAGTTTAACCCCTCTCTGTCTAGTGACTGTAAATTTAACCCTCACTGTCTCCCATATTATATCTCTATTGACTGTCATTTTAACCCCTCTCTGTCTAGTGACTGTAAATTTAACCCTCACTGTCTCCCATATTATATCTCTATTGACTGTCATTTTAACCCCTCTCTGTCTCTGTAGGATGCAGAGAAGCACCAGCTGTACTGCCAAGAAGTCATTGAGCTCAGTGAAGACATATCTCTTATCCTTATCCTCCCTCCTTCTGACCAGGTCTGTTACCATAGCGCACACACCATCAAGACTACTCAACCTCTTCCCCCTCTCCCCCTCTCCTCCCACACAGGTGTGCACCCCTCCAGGCAGTACCGACCATTTCGCAAAGCTCTCTGACTTTGTAGCTCTACCAATCAACACCTTTGAAATAAGTGAGACCCTCAATCCTCAACACAGTGCTATTGTTTTTGAATCTAGGAGCAAACATTGTGATATGGTTAGGTTTGACCTACATTGTAAGTGTAAGCACTTGAAATTTTACTTTGGTTGCCGGCTGTAGTACACACACGCTCAAGATAATTATAAGGGAGTAAGCATAGAAGCAAGTCAAACGTTATTTTTCCCAACCCTCTCTCTCTCTCTCTCTCTCTCTCTCCCTCTCTCTCTCCTCTCTCCCTCTCCCTCTCCCTCTCTCTCCTCTCTCCAAATAGTGCAACTCTACACGTACCAGAAATCATTCATGACAAAGTTTTCGACGGTGTCTGCTCGACTTGACATCGAGCTCCTCACGTCACAGCAGAGAATGAGAGAGGTAAGGTTTTCAATATACCAGAACCAACCCATCGTTAGTGAGCAAATGAGTACGAAACTTCAGCCATTTTTGGTAATTGTGACAGTGCATTAATATAATAGGCAATTTCAGCCTGTCTCTCTGTAGTGGCTATGTGTTGCTAAGCACATTAACACAAGGCGAAAAATCCAGGATCAATTATCACGTACACATTAGTAACACTTGGTAGTCAGGGCTTAGGAATTCAATCAGTTGTGCCACTAGGAATATGGGATGCTTAGAAACGTCTGAATGCCTACTCACGTGCACTTTATGCTCAACATGTTTCTATTACGCACCAGCATACATGTACCCACTGAATGCATGCTTCCAAAGGTTGAACGAACCATTCCCTTGAAAAAGTACTAATGTCGTCGCTGAACACACAGTCATAATGCCACAGCTATTCTCTGACATGTTATGTGTAAGGTGTCATATGTTGCCAGTCTGCATACAGAGGCAGCTATGTATGTGTGCCATGTATTGCCATGGTAGTGAGTGGGCACTTGCTTGGTAACAGTCAAAACACATCAATAATAGGGTGCGTGAATAGCATTAGTTTATCGTGTGAGATCTGAGAAATTCATTAACTGTTTTTGTCCACATACACAATGCAACTTTGTGAAGTCTCCTGCAACTGTCCACTTTGATACTATACGGCCTATTTTACTGTGTGCAGCATTGTTGCATCATACATTGAAGTTGCATAAGACTTATGTCATGCAACAACAATAAAGTCTTCCTGAACTTTACACTATTCTCCGTGCAGGCATTCTCCAAGGTGGAGGTGACTGCAGCGAAACAACTGAAGGAGCAGCTGGAATCGTTTCAGGAGAGGACGGACGCGGCGTGGAAAGAGATGAGATGGATCGAAGATGCCGTCCAGAAGGGGAGGAATCAGGCGACTGTCTCCTCCGCGTCCAGCCTCCTCCCCGTGAAGGTTTTGAGAGATGTTACCAGAATTAACCTTCCTGGTGGTCTGAGAGGAAGTAAGTTCTACCCTTCTCCTCTCTCTCTCTCTCTCTCCCCCTTTACTCATGCCCACTGTTATCCCTCAGGTCCAACACCAGAACCAAATTCCGGCTATCTTAGAGTGTTTCCTGCCTACACAACAGGACTTGTCAGTGGCACCAGTGTCAGAGTAAGTCTATCAAAATCTGAGCACATATGGAGAGCACATGCACAACATGCATTTCAGCACATTGTACATGTAGTATTATCTTACATTTCAGCACATTGTACATGTAGTATATCTTACATTTCAGCACATTGTACATGTAGTATATAATATTGTATCCAAGAGGCATTCTTCCCGATCTCCATAATTGACAAAGAGTCAATTGTCGTCGATGAAACATTGCTTGGCTTCTCCCTTAAAGACCGGAGTCGCAATTACTAGGATTGTCCTCACAATGGGAAACAAACAGAACCTTTTTTGGCGAGCGAACCTTCACATCTCCATAGTGACTGAACCTGCACATGAAGTTTGTGCATGCCATTCTCAGTGTGACAGCATTATTATAGTCGGAGGAGAACTAGCAGCTGCTACTGAGTGCCATTTTACACGAAAAGTACTTATAACTAAAAAAGCCATGCATTCTGGCTCACTGCGCCTGTAATACTGGTGGTAGAGCATGTGCAGTGCATATGCCTTCTACATGGCATCATATGCGCTCTGGAAAAGCCAGTTCAGTATGGCAACATACATGTGACAATCTGTATAGCTAGTGACTGCTGTTAGGGCTGTCTGTGTAGTCACACTACAAGGCTCAGATCACACACGCAGGCTGCGTAGTACGCAGGTGTACCTGTCCTGCCAAATGTTGCCACATTGTGAAGCTACAGGCCTGTCCTTTAGAGTCGAGTGCACACACTGAGTGGTGAGTGTGTTTGGCTGGCTCTGCTTCTTTGCCGCCTGCCAAACTGTGACAAATGTACTCTACCAGTGCGTCATTTGCAAAGTTGGCCAAGTAAAGCCATAATGAACTGGCTTACAGTTTCTATGGCGTTGTTATCGATTTAGGTGATAACCAACAAGAATTTCAAGAATACCCTAATTAATCAAAGTTTATATAATGTGATGTAACTTGTGACAACCTGCGCCTGCCATACTTAGGGAGGTGATGTGTCCATAGAGATTTTGCTCACGTTACATGCATACTGATGACTATGTCACCCTCTCCCTTCCCTCTCCTCACCCCCAGCTCTTTATCACAGAGTCAACTACGACGACTGAAGTGATTCATCTGGTTGTACAACAGCTTGAGAAGGCCCGTATTGACAAGGGGATCCCAGGACCTCCTCTCACTGAAGAAGACGTGGCAGGGTTCTATCTCGTGGCTCGGCTAAACGGGAAAGAGACGGCACTGGACTATGACTATACACCTCTCCAATTGCAGTCAAATCCGCAGCATAAGTGGCGGCTGCTAGTCAGGAGAGTCGCCGAGGAGAGAAGAACTTCCAGCGAACAGACGACAAGCGTCTAGCTCTCTCCTTGTTTAGAAATAGTGTTCTTTTTTGTTCTCAGTGTGTGTTGTTTTATATTACCATAATTGTGCCACACCCTTTAGCACATCACATTGGCTTGCTTACGTAATCCTGCGTGTTCGTGTTATGCTTTTGCCGGGCGGGGCTTTGTTACGTAATTTTCCGCGCCAAGCATACCGTAAGCGCAATACTAATCTTGGCGCTTAGCGCTAGTTAATAGCGTCGAAAAAACCGGTTTTGATCACAGGCCACAGTCTAGGCAGGGGCTTCTTGTAATGACGGGTTATACAGGTTTTCTGCACCGGCAACCGGTGCGCAAAACCTGCGCGTAGCTAGTAAAAGGGAACGCGCGTTTCCCGATCTCACATCAGTCGACGCCAACCGTCCTTAGTATCTAATCCCCCTCTTCCTCCTCGCGTCTACTCGTTCAGATCGCGTCCCCTCACCGACTAACAGAGCGATGGATGTCCAAGGTTCTCGGCTTTGCCGATAGCACCCCGCCCGCAGGACCAGCAGGCCCAGCGCCGCTACCGAGCGCCGCATTCGGCTGCTCGAGAGAGAGAGAGAGGTGAAGGACGCCTATCTTCGCAGACTTGAAATGATTGGATCCAGGATTGCCTACTGCAAGTACCTGTGACAGCGCCACGCAATACGATATCAAACACCCAGCCAAGAAAAGCCTTGGGACTTAGCTATTTATTCTTCTGCTGTAAAGATGCACGAGAAAAGGAGAGGACGAGGCTTGGCCACGGCCTTCACGGCGGGAGGCCTCAGCGCCACTTGCTCCACTCTCATGTTCCAACCCCTCGACCTCGTCAAGACCAGGATGCAAATGCGCGCCCTGGCCGCTCCACTCTGCCTGTGAGCAAAGCCACACCTCTGCACCTGATCCCTCTAGTCTTGGCATTTTGAAATCTTTTTCTCTGTTTCTCCAGGGCAACGGTGCAGGGTGGGCCGGCTTCGGCGGGGATGGTCAGCACTTTTGTCCACGTCGTTCAGAAAGAGAACTTCACCGGTCTCTGGAGAGGGACCTCTCCGGTACGTTGTCGACTGCACATTTCATTGGTCATGTCTCGCAGTGAGCCGACACTGGTCGTGTGGGCACACCCCCATGTGTGGATTGTGCGATGCATAGTTTGAAGCTATAGAGAGACGAATGCCTGCGTTGTTGGGCTGCATTATCTGGGAGGGTGCTCAGTAGCCTTTCTGAAAGATGAGCGAGTTTGCATGCGCAACTGGCCGGATGTTGTGCAGTGTTTGTGCAACAGGCACAGAGAACAGGTCAGGCAGAGATAGTCGGGGAATTCATGAATCCAGAATTGCATTCATGGGTGCAATGATCTGCACTTATTGCATCACATGACCCTTGCGTAATAATACGAACTGTCTGGGTCTGTAGTTACACGTCCAAAACTCGTATTTCATTGTGTCTCGGAAATCCCTTCCTCCAGTTACTCTGTGTGTGCGTATTCTTGCCCACAGAGTCTGCAGAGGTCCATTCCAGGGATCGGTCTTTACTTTACCTCCCTCACTTTCCTCAAGTCACAACTTGGGTACGTTTCTCACACAGCACGAGTGCATAAAAGTATGAGATGTGTGTGCAGTTAACCATTTGATTCTTGGGATGCCTATCCAACTACCTGTGTAGTATTACATTCTCATATAATTTTGCCACCTCTCTCCCTCCTCTCCATGCAGAAAGTCAGACAAGGATCTTGCCCCTCTGGAAGCCCTATCAATCGGGGTGACAGCAAGGTCGTTCACGGCAGCCTGCTCAACCCCCTTGACCATCGTTAAGACCAGATTTGAGGTCCGTTTTCATCCGCCTTTGATGTTGTTTGTGTACGTGGGCATGCTGGTTGTTTTTCCCACAGTAGCCGGTTGTACGTTTGTAGACCCTAGTAGGTCCAGAATGACTATTACCCCATATGCACCTTTGTCCAGCTTCACATTTGAAGTGCCTTTGAACGCACCGCACCCTACATGTCTCCCGTGGATACGAGGAATGTTTTCTCCACGGCTGCCCAGTATTGTTGTGGACGATTGAAATTGGCAACTTAATCAAAGGTTTTGTGCTATAAGTGTGGGATGTGGGTTCCTATATAGTACCTCAGGAGTGGTTAGTAGAGAGAGGTTTGATGTTTTTTTTAATCGCCACACCACAGAGTGGAAGGTTCCAGTATCGCAGTGTCCTTGAAGCCCTGACCACCATTGCCACCACAGAAGGCCCTAGAGGTGAGCAAAACAACACAACATTGCGTGCTGGGTTTTTTGCTTGCAAGCAAGTGCCTTCATGAGTTTGTGCCCACACACTGTATAATACCTGTTTTGAACGTCTACATGTATAGGTGCCCCTTTACCTACTGTGGGTGTGTATGTACATGCAGGTCTATTTCGAGGGCTGTCTGCTACACTGGCCCGTGATGCTCCATTCTCTGGTCTATACCTCCTATTCTACACACAGGCCAAGCAGGTGGCCATGAGAGGTACAGCTACTGCTTTTACCACACATGTAGGCAGCCAGGGAAGTGAACATGTTGATATCAGAGACAGTCCCTTTGAGCATTTCTTTGTACTTCGGGCCACCTTTATGTGACTTCCAGTGAACTCTTTGATAGTTTTCCCTCTAGTAGTGGAGCATTGAGAAGAACTCTTAGAGAGGAGTCTGTAATAGTCTTCCTGTGTGCCTTCCCCCCAGACATGCTCCAGATGCCTATTAGGTCACATGTGTATTGCATCATACCAGTGTCACTGGCAGTCTTCCTGCGACCTTGTGTGGTGTGCCTTTCCCTAGCAAGCATGCTTGAGATTCCTCTGAAGCTTCCTGGTTGTCCATGGCCACAGTTCGCCACACGTTTTGTCACATTTTATCTATTGCTGCATTATGCTGTGTACTCCACACTATCTACAGCTACTCAGACAGACACGTTGGCCCCCTCCCTCATGTTCTCCTGTGGAGTAGTTGCAGGACTAGCTTCTTCCATCATCACCCAGCCTGCCGATGTCGTCAAGACCAGCGTCCAGACGGGAACCCTTCCCAACTCCACGGGACTTCTGCCCACGATCTCTTCCATCTACCAGACCCGGGGACTGAGAGCCATGTTTGCTGGGATCGCACCGCGTGTCACTCGCAGGACTCTCATGGCCGCCTTCACCTGGGCTTTCTACGAACAGGTACGACCTCCCTCTTACCCACTGTCTCCCTCGCTCCTCTCTTTCAACTTCCCAAACTTTTTCTCAACCTCTTCCCCTTTTCCTCTGTCTCCAAAAATGATATTGATCTCTCTCTCTCTCTCTGTTTTGCAGATTTTGCTGCTCGTTGACAGCCGTTTCCACTAGCTCTCTACAAAGAACCAAACGAAAAATAGTTACTTCATGAATCAAATTGATTTATACGACCCTCAACTGCAGTTCTATTGGCTGACTACCCCACCGGCCATTTTCACACATAGTTTGTTTTTGTTTGTGCTCAATTTTCCAACCGCCTCTCTCATCTTCTCTACTCTCCTCCTCGGCCTTCTCATCCTCGCGAATTCAGTGCTGGTGATCATCACAAGCACTATAACTCATCTGTCATATCAGATCTATTATACAGTGTATGCAGACCACTTCCTCTCTCTCTCCACCCTCCTCTTCTTGTCTCTCCTCACCTTCCAACTATTTATTGTGTTGTATATACAACACATTTTCGTCCTAGACCTTGTCTTTTTCATCCCTCATCCAACATCAATTCGTTCTCAGAATTGGACCCCAGGATTGCAGAATTATTTTTGCAATTTCCATAACTTTCTGTCAACATTACAAATACCGCGCGCGCTATGTAGCTTGGGAGGCTATCTTGCCAGCTATTATAGAGAGCGATTATGAGCCACACCTACGCTTCATGCCATATTATGGGTGTGGCACCTTTTTCTAGGCACGCGCTGGGCGGGCAACTGCCGTTTCCGTGTTCTTCCGTATACCTCTCAGTAAACTAGTCTTCAGCTCCCCTAAAAGATGGCAGCCTTCGCGTGTTGTCTGCCCGAAGAGGAGCGAGAGGCCCTGCGCAGGAGCCGGCAGATCGACCGGCAACTGGCCCAGGAGAGAATCAACCTCCGCCAGGAGATAAAGATCCTGCTGCTAGGAGCGGGAGAGTCGGGCAAGAGCACGTTCATCAAGCAGATGAGAATCATTCACGGGGAAGACTACACCGAGCAGGACCGGCTGGATTTCCGCAGCATCATCTTCCACAACGTCCTGAAGGGCGCCAAGATCTTGGTCGAGGCCAGGAGACGGCTGCAGATCCCACTCGAGAACCCCGAGAACGAGGCGAACGGTTTCGCCGTGTCGAACTACCACCGCAGCGAGAGTCTGACCCCCGAGGAGTTCCACCAGTACGTGGCGCCGCTGAAAGCACTGTGGGCGGACTCGGGCATCCAGAGCACTTTCAAGAGGAGCAATGAGTTCCAACTGGTCTGTTTTCTCCCCTTCTCATCCACCCTCCCTCCTCCCTCCACCCTAGCTTCCCATCCTCCCCATTGACTGCATGTTGCTCTAAAAGAAAACATTCTGAGCAAACAGCTGTATAAAGCTTTGTGGGAGGGCTCAGCTTACTGGAGCTCATGTACCCTCAGTGTGCTCAGCCCTCTCGTTAGAAAAACTTAAATTGTCGTAAAACTTGGCGGTAGGGCCTGCTTTGCCTGTACACCGTACAATAGCCCCATGCTAGCGCACAATGCCAGAGAGGGAATAAACTCCCTGTGGTCTGTGCTGTGAATAGGAGGGTCTTACAGCTTGCCACCTTCGGTGTTGAACATGAAGGAATGTCTGCTAATTCAATTGCAGAAAGCGTTCTGCACCTTAGAATGCATTCCCCCTCTCTACGCAGCGATGACCTCTCGGAAACGATGACTTATATACTCTAGAAATCACCAGATGCATGCTTCTACGTGCGCTCAGTTGTTGCAGTGAGTTAGCTAACAGCTGTTTGCGAGCAACTGTCAGATTTATCATGTCATTGAGCATCACGTTGGCCTCAGGTGCCCGCCTCATTTAACCTCTTCCCTTCTCCCCAGTCCTCCTAGTTCCCTCTCCTTTTCTCTACAACACACATTCTCTTGCCTCTGTGGTCGTGGGAAAGAACCATGAAGTTGTGGAGAAGTGTGTTTCTGTACCTCCACTCCCCTCTAGTGGGATCACCCATAACTTGGCTCATAGTTACGAGCTCCGTGGAGGGAGTTCCCGGCCTCTTACAAAAATGGCTGATGGCCTGAGAGCTGTACCCAAATATTTCAAATGCCACTCTCTTTCTCTCGCTTTCTGTTAGCTTAACTGGGGGTGGAGGTGTCCAAGTGTAATGTGCTGATCTTGCATTCAAAGAGCGTATGTGTGGCCATCTAACACACTCTCTCCCTCCCCCTCTCTTTTCTTTTTCTCCCTCTTTCTCTCCTCTCTCACATATCACAGGGTGACTCAGTTCCTTTCTTCATGGGAAACCTCGACACAGTGGGACAATTGGTGAGACTTCGCAATAGAATAGCTCATGTGTATATATTATAGTTTCCAAGTGAGCCCCGGCAGATGATTGGTGTAACACAAGACAAGTGCATATCATATATACACACATTTAAAAAGGGCTCCCGTAGGTTGGGCTTTTGAATCAGCATTACCCTGATCTATAGGCAAGCGTGTTCTTCATACTGAGCTATTGAGGCAGCTCTTCAGGCAGGGCTCAACATTAACAATAGAACCAAGGGCAAGGAAAACCCAGAAACCGTGCATACCGGCATTATATAATGTGTATGCTGCATAACACGCCATACGTCTGTTTGTCAATTTCATGGTAGTCTGTCTGCACGACTGGTGGGGTTAGTACTGGTGTATGTACGTACGTACGTGTGTATGCAAGTCATTGGGGAGTGTGAGCGTGTGCAGACTTCTCCAGGTTTTGGACATCAAACGGTCTTGAAAGTCATTCGGCCATTGACATTTGGCAAGCGACAAACGTTCTCAAAGTTGTCGTTGTCATTTGATCGCCACACTCTGCTGTTTGTGTCTCCCGAGATAAATTGGGTCTGAGATCAACACTTGTTCTATTTATAGAACAAGTGACACCAACAGGAGTATGGGTCAAATGCAACACACAGTTGGCTATGATGTCATAGTGTGGTGTGGGCCTTTACAGAAAGTGTGAGGGCAGCACACAGCGGTGTTGATTTTTATACTCTTGATTATTGAATTTCTAGTACGTTGACCTTTCAAGTCGAGATTTTTGTGTAGGCTCAGGACGTGTTAGTAACTCTACCTCACCTCTCTCGGTCGGGAGCAATTATAGTCCTTAATCAGTTACTGATTCCCAAGGACCCGCATAGCGTATTATACTGCAAAAGAAGTTGCTGGTTTTTACAAAGGGATCAGTGTTGATGATACATAATCTGAGTTAACTGAGGAGTCTGCATTGCTCCGTTGTCTGGTTTTATTCCTCCTCCATTTTCTCCTTAAAAATCTACCGTGAGCAGTTTTTTCGTGGGTCGATATTTTCAAACATGGTCACTGTCCCAAATTTTCACTTATGGATGGCAAAACACCCCAGATTCTCACAAAAAACACATGCTAAGAAAAGGGCTATTATTATAATACTCTACGCCGGGGGCTGGGCTACGGAATGAGCGTGTGGGCAGGGACTATGAATTTTGTCTCGGATGGCCTGTGATGAGATTCAGTGGCGATTGAAAGTCGACAGAATGGCGAGGACACTGAGTTAGACCAGTCTGTGAATTCTCAGGAGTGGGTGTGGCTTATTTTATACCCTTGGTTTATATATGCAGTGTAACCCTTTTAAGGACACCCTACAGTTTGTCTCATTGGTATATACCTGGGTTAGCACTGTATTGGGCATTATCTGTGTATAATAATTATGACATGGAGAAGTTCCTAGCCAGATCCTGTGATATTTTTAGGCCTGTCAAATCTATTTTTAGAACTCGAAAATGGCACTATGTAGAACTATTTGTTCCATAAATAGAGCACTTACTCCCTTTCTGTTATATACACTCGTACAGGGGTACATTCCGTCGAAAGAACACATCCTCCATTCACGTAAAGCCACCCGCGGCATCCAGGAATACAACATTGACATCAAGGGCGTCCCGTTCAAGTTTGTCGACGTGGGCGGCCAGCGATCCCAGCGACAGAAGTGGTTTCAGTGTTTCGACGAAGTCACCTCGATTCTGTTCATGGTGGCCTCGAGTGCCTTCGACCAGTGTCTCCTGGAGGACCGCATGACAAACCGAATCGTCGAGAGCGTAAACATATTCGACACGATCGCCAACAACCGTTGTTTCCGCGGCGTTTCCATCATCCTGTTTTTCAACAAGACCGACCTTCTCACGGAGAAGATCAAGCACAAGTCGATCCGGGAACACTTCCCCGATTTCCAGGGCGACCCGCTCAAGCTATCAGACGTGCAAGATTTCCTTGTCATACTCTTCAATTCGGTGCGACAAGACAGAACGCAGGAGCTGTACCGACACTTTACCACCGCGACGGACACAAAGAACATCAAAGTAGTTTTTAACATTGTAAAAGACACAATACTCACTCGTAACATTCAAGATTTTATGCAAATTTAGCGACTGTTCTTTTTGATTTTCTCGACACAAGCCCCGCCCAACATTTTACGTATAACTAGAGAATTTTGTTCCTGTATTGTTTTCTTGTATGTAAACACTCGTGCAATCAAGAAATATAGAGAAATTTAATAAGTATTCTATTTTTAAGATGTGAGTATAAAAAAATATGGTTTTTGTAGTATGTTGTTGAAGGTGTATGTTCTCTGTGTGTGTGCGTGCAAGTAAAACTGTGCCGAAAAGGTTTGGTTGCATGAAGACAGCTGCATATTACGTAACCACAATCAGGTTTTTTGTGGCTTTTACCCCCCCCCTCCTTAAAATAGTGTGGCTGCTATGAATTTGCAAATTTTTGTCTATGAGAACCCCTATAACTTCTGTCATTGATTAAAACGACTGTAGAGGAACACTAAATTTTACAAGACTAGAACAGAAAGAGGATTCATGACGTCAATCGTCGTCATCGTCATCGTCAGGGACGAAAATGTTCATCTCTTCCATCCACGAGGCGAAGAACTTGGCGATCATGGCTCCGCCGTAGATGAAGGGAGGCGCCCAGATTGCCACCATGACGGCCCCAGCACTCCTATAGGGGCGCTCTGGTCTGGACAGAATGCTCCCGCTCTCTGTCGTGACGGCTGTCCTCCTGGGAACGGCTCTGAGGGCCCCCAGCCCGCCTGGCCGTAGCAACAGGCCGCGCAGTAGACCACCCGACATGACCCTGTTTGCGATTCTCTTGAGCTCTCTGAGTCTCTTTCGATCGACTCTCGGAATTTGACACGGTACCGCCTACTTTCTGCACGTGAGAGCTGCATGATTATCACATGTCCGAATGTGTGGGCGGGGACTATACCTGCGTGCATGCGTGAGTTTTACCAAACGCACTCGACCCTTTCTCTTCTGTGTGCGTTTCTTCCTGGCTACTTTTGCTGGTCTAGAGAATCAATATGTCTGTCCTCCCGTTCGTGCGGGGGGTGGACTTCTCGCGGAACCAGTTCAAAGTGAGTTTAGTTCCACAGAAAGCGTACAGCGAGCACCCAAACTCTTACTATATCATCAATGACTGCTCTCTCTGCAATACTGATACAGCTGGACCAGTTTCAAACAAAGATGGCGGAGAGATGAGCAATCTGAGATGGCTGAGGTTGAATCGTAGTCAACTTGGCAGTCTACCAGACGAGATTGACCAGTTCCAGAAACTGGTTTGTGTATTATTAGCCTCATGTGGATCTGGACGCGATACACCTTCTTTATCCACTGTTAGGAGGTTCTGACTATTGCCCACAACAAGATGACAGCTCTCCACAGCGGAAACCTACCGGCTCTCTCCTCTCTCCGGGTCAGTCTGCCCCATGTGACTGTTACGTGACTTGCACAATCCTCGATGCAGGTGGTGAGCGTGTCACACAACAATCTCAGAGACTCTGGGCTCCCTTCCGAACTCTTCACCTTGAAGGAACTCCACACCCTAGTGAGAAGAAAGCATATCCACTCCAAGTATTACATGAATACCTTATTTCCCTGTTATTTCTCTTCCTCTTCCTAATTTACTCTCTCTGTCTTTTTCTCTCTCTCTCTCTCTCTCCTCGCCCTTGCTCCAGGACATGAGCTACAACAACCTCACCAAGATACCGGACGAACTCCTCAAGTCAAAGAGTCTCATCGTTCTTGACCTCAGTCACAACAAGGTCTCCACCATCCCTGGAGCTGTGAGTTGGCACTGCCTCTCTACAGAGTTTGTATATATGCACCATTTTAATGAAATTACAAAAGAGCCATACATGTAAGCTATAGTTTGCTGTATACAGTGGAACCTCCGAACAAGGGACACTATTGGACCGACGATTTTCCCCCTGTAGAGAGGTCGTCCCTATCTCGGAGATCAACTAACACACTAAAGTATTAGCATGGGGTTTAAACAAGTGTCCTTTGTGTAGAGAGGTTTTCGCTATCTCAGGGGCTCCCTTATCAGAGGTTCCACTGTATCCTTTGGCAATGAGGATGTCTTGTAGCCAATACCGCTCTACTGTAATCGCTTTTGCAGTCGTGTTTTTGAGTGTTACTTGCCAGACGCTGCCTTTCCTTATCTGACTGTTTCTATGGTTACGCAGCTGTTGATCCAGTTGACTGGCGTGGAGTACTTTGACCTCAGCCACAACGAGCTCCGTTAGTATTACCTCGTTTTCCGTCATGACGGTTTTGACGTTTCTTCTATTTTGTTGTTCTCAGAGTCACTTCCACCACAGCTGCGGAGAATGGAGCACCTGAAACACCTGGTAATAAGCCACACCCCTGACCACACCCACTAATTAAAAACTTTTTTCCATCAGAATGTGGCCAACAATCCTCTCCAACATTATGCCTTCAAGTAAGTGGAGAGCTTACGAGCTAGCACAATTTCACCATGCAAATGTACGCAAAGAAAATTGTTTGTTGGTTTAGCCTGTTGTATAAAATTTCCACTGTTTAATTTCTCGGTGTGTGTGTATTCAGAGTTTTGGATAAACTGACAAATCTGACTAGTCTCAACCTATCTGCAACTGGAGTAAGTTATGCTATGTATGTCAATGCTTACTCACAGGCTCTATATACCTATTCTCTATCTCCTCCTATTTACAGAGAGATTTCACCAACCTGCCTCACATCGACAAACTCGTAAACCTAACAGGTTAGTTAGTCACTCAGCCTGATGACTACACTATTATGACACATGTACCCAAACAGACCATTTA